CTGAGGTCGCGCGTACCTCCGAACAAAACTTCGGAATGTTTCGAGACTGAGTTCGATGCGGTGCATTGCGTTGGGTGGTAGATCGACTGGAGGGGCCGTGCTATATCTGATTGTTCACCCCTCAGCTGTGGCTAGTTCTGCTGTTCCTCGAGTTTTGGCTGGATCGAATCCCCCCAAAGGTTCGTTTTCGCAAGACCATCACGACAGAGTGCACGCGTTTATCAACGTCTCGGGTGGTGCACTGGCCTGCATCCAAGTCGTTCCTTTCTTCTTGAAACGCTCCTTCCACTCCTCTAACTGCAAACGATGTAAACGCTCATAGGAGCTATCGGTGGTGCGGTTTCGCATTGCTGTCGGGCAGATACGCTTTAATATTGCCTTCTGGATGCTGCATACTCCCCCTCCACTGAGTCACTCAAGGCATGCCAAAAGTGTTCTGTCGTGGTGAGCTGGAGGCGGACTTACCGGTTCGGCGATCAGGTTTTTTGGGCCCATCACTTGTCGGCCGGGTCATTCCCGCAATCGCTTAGCTGTTATCCATGGGGATTGGTTCAAATATTTTTTCTCGAGTTCCTTATCCGTTTTCATGTTCGTGCAGCCCCGAACCATGTGAAGGTTTTTGTTGCAAAATATGCAGATTTGTTGGTCAGTTAGTTCCCCAGGCATTCCGAGTTGCCGTCTGTTCTTCCTTCCTATACCTTGCTATTCGAGAATGGCATTCACAGCGACAATATCCAGAGGCACTATACTTGGGTAGCTTCCGAAGCATTCCTCTTCCTTATCAGATGTCGCGAAGAAAGCAGCTTTTTTCTCTCCTTGACGAGTAAATACAGAGTCACCTCGAATATTTCGATCATTTTACTTCTTAGTTCCCTCCAAACCCAGCCAGTTATGTGCTGTCGCTTTCTTGCTGGGAGTTCCGGTATGAACCGCCCAAACGAAAAAAGCCGATTCCACCGTTGGACTCCTAGTCATGAATGGCCGATACTTGTTGAACTTGCCCCCTGTCAACCGCTTCCCTTGCTTAAGTCTTCTTAATTCTGTCATAAGATGTGCGATTAAAGAGCTAGGGAAAAATCTACGTCTCAGTGAGTGCCGGGGAGCTTCTATATTCCAGATTTGCAACAGAACAGTGCTACTCTTCTTCGGATTCCGCCATATTCACCGTGCCTGCCATTCTAATGGGAAAGATGCCAATTGCAAGTGTAGCTCATCTGTTAGATCTCTTCAGGAGAGACAAAGTCCTCCACTTCCCGCCACATCGTGCCGCCGACACTGTTTTCTTGCGGGCAAACCAACTCCACGACTAATCAGTGCTAGTAGCCAGGCCGCTCAGCAGTGTGGTTGGAGTTCGCAGCTTCCGGCCCCGCCAAGCCTTGCGGTGCTACCAAGTCGGCTTGGTGAACTGCAATATAGTCAGCACTTACAAGAGAGTAGCTACCCCGAAGCAGCTGACCTCTCCATCAAACTCTCAGCCCCATGACCACTCCGGCACAAGCCCCTGGAGCTGGTACGGGGCGATGGGCCATCACAAGTTGCGATGCACCTTGGTGCAGTTCTTGCTGCAAGGGAGCACTACATGAAGGAATATCCCATCCTCCTCTTTGATGCACTAAATAACACTGTATACAGTTGTTAAACACTGAACTGCCCGCGAGTTGCCAACCTCAGACGAGTGGGAATGAACGTAGCAAGACCCCCAGCATTGCAGGAAGTCTATAGACGAACTAAACTTCTTATAGAGAGGGTTGTACTACAAGGATTCTTTAGGTTCCACGACGCACAGTGGCTAAGGCATCTAAGGTGCTCGCTAGTGCGCAGGCTGTAGTATAAGTACATTGACTGCAGTGTACGTACGCCACCTTACGTGCAGAAATACGAGCTACAGTATGCTTACACTGCAGTGTACTGGCACTGCAGTGTACACTGACTGCGGTTTCTATACATGCAGTGAATAGACAGTGGCGTCCGCCGAGGCCTTGCGCCCATGGCGTTGGCGTGCAGCAGCGCCCCCAGCAATTCATCAGCGATTCGGGGGCATTGTTCTTAGTAAAGAGATAATAAATTAAAAGCAAATGCGTTGAAATGACTCAAATGCTGCAGCGGTGCTGCAGGCGAGCAGCTGGTGTGCCTAGGATCACTGAGGCCCCGTGGCAGGAGCAGCTGNGCTGCAGCGGTGCTGCAGGCGAGCAGCTGGTGTGCCTAGGATCACTGAGGCCCCGTGGCAGGAGCAGCTGGGGTTGTGTGGTTCGTGTTGGTGTTGCATGGCCTCGACGATCAGAGGGCTTGTTTGCAAGTTTAGACCTTAAAGAATACATAAAACAAATAAATAAACAAAGAAATACAAATAAATGACAAAGAAAAAACAGCAGTTGCTCTGGTGGCTGCGGAGTTCAACAGTCAGTGCACGTGCTCCCAGGCCCTCCACCCGGCGTGACGGCCCACGGCTTCTCTTGACTCTGTTTTTGTTGTATAGATCTATAAATACCTTTTTCTGTGGTTTTTAAGTTTATTTCTACCTTTAATTTACTCAAACTGGACCCAGGACATCCCCTTTTTCCGGCTGTCTTGCAGCTCTGCCGGTGTCGGCTGCGCTCGCGGGTGGTGTGTCTCAGCTAGCCAGGCCCCGAGGCCTCTTTCTTTCTCCCCGCTACTGCGCCTAAATACGTTTAATTACAAAGGGGGTAAATGTTTCACACAAGCCAAGGCCCCTGAATATCTATGCAGCCGGATGCGCCTGGCCTCCTTGTCCTTAGCCCGGCTCGCGTGCTTAGGCGTGGTCCCTTGAGGCCTCGTTGGTTTTCTGCAGTATCTGCAGCAGCAGCAGCAGCAGCTGCTGCTGCTGCTGCTGCCATACTCTACCCGTTTCTTCCTCTTCTGGAGAACCCCGCGCGCCGCTCCTTCGAGCTGCAGCAACAGCTGCTGCAGGCCCCTATGCGCTACCCCACTCCCTCCCCCCCTATATCCTCACCACTGAGGTTTGAGTGTTGCTGCAGCAGACGCATGCAGCAGCACTTAAACCTCGGTTGCAGCAAAGGGCGGGGAAAGGGAGCCCAGAGGCAGCACAGCATCGCCGGCAGCAGCAGCTTGTGATGCAACTGCTGCACCAGCCACCCCAGTAGAAACAACAACAGCAGCAGCACCAACAGCAGCAGCAGCAGCAGCAACTCTGCAACGAAACACAGCCTCACGCATGGATTCATCAGGGGGGCCCCCCCCTCCCGACCAGGGCCCCTGGCCAGGCGATGCCCGAATGGCTGGCCTCAGGGAAACAGACCCAGCGGGGCCCTGTGCATCGCAGAGGCCCCATGGGGGGCCCCCCCTGCCTGCCCCTGTCTCTTACAGCACCTTAGGAGGGGCCCCCCAGCCTGTATTCCAGGGCGTTGTCCCCTCCGCTGTCTCTTGCTCTCCCCCCAAGCCGCTTGAGCAGCCCGCCATCGGCCAGGGGGCCCCCATGGGCCCCGTACCCCTACAGCCCGAGCCGAACGAGGGGGCCCCCGTCCCTCCCTGGTTGCTCTTGCCGCAGCGACACCCAGCTCAGCCCCAGCAACAACAGCAACAGCCACAGCAGCAGCAGCAGCAGCAGCAGCAGCAGCATCTGTACTACGAAGGCCAACAGGTGGTGCAGCAGCAGCTGCATCCGCAGCGTGCCCCTGTGATGCAGCAAGGGGGTGGGGGCCCCCACAGCGGAGAGGGGCCCCCTGCCCCTGTAAACATGGGGGAGCTGCCGCCGTGGCAGCCCCCTATGGACTGCTCAGCAGAACGTAGTGTTTCCTTTGCATGCGCCAGCCCCTGCATCCTGTCTACCCAGGCCGCGCCCCCCTATGCTGTCTCCCCGCTACCAGCTGGCCCCTTCGTGGGGGACCTCCCCCACATATCAACGCAGCAGCCGCACCTGCAGCAGTGGCAGCCAGCAG